TCTGGCCCCCTCTGCCCCAGACCCGGCCCCTCCTACAGGCATGGGTGCTGCCGGCCCGGGGCAGGGGCCACCTTGTAGTAACGGTGAAAAGCAGCTCAGTTCGTCAAAGCATGGATTTTTTTTTTTTAAAGCCACCCCAGAGATTCTACACTTGAGCAGGTACTGGACTGGATGCCCCTTTCTGGTCACAGTTAAACCCAAACAAAACCTTCTGCATGTTAGCGTTCTTTTTTCTCCCCATAAACTGTGAGATACCTTCCGTAATTCCCCCCAGCCCGTGCCTAGTTTCTTCCCTCTTGCTAATACACCTGCCTGTAAATCTGGGATCCTTCGGCGATCTGTGTGCTCAGCTTGATGGCATCCAGGGCTGCTGATGCCCAACAGGGCTGCTGGCAGGGGCAGGCTGAAGCATGGGTGAGGGCATGACTTGAAGCCTTTTTTTTTTTTTTTTTTTTTTCCCCCCTCCATTTTAGAACATATCTGGATAAATATCCTATATTTGAAATAGGTGTATCCCGACAAAATAAGTTGATCTGCAGATAGGACTGCTGATATGGCAAGAAGTGAATGAAATGGAAAGCAAAGCCTCTTGGCTACTTCTCTGGCAAAGTGTTTTGTGTGCTGCTCTGTTCTTACGAGTAGGTGTGGATGTGAGGTGCCAAAGCTTCCTTGTCTTCTCTGGCATCGCAGCAGCACTTGGCTATTCAAGCAGCGGGCATCTTGGAGGACCAGTGTTGGGTGGTCGATGGGGGAAAGGATGGCATCATTAGGTCTTGGTCCTCTGGTTTGGTTTGTGGGTGCTGAACTCTCTTGTGCTACCAAAAACTGTAGCTGAGTTGCTTCAACAGAGAGGCCCAAATTAGGCTTGGCTGGAAGCAGAGCTGCCTTCCACGCCAAGCAGAGGGTCCCTTGCTCTCTGGTTGGTCTCCAGAACTTATAGGTTCTCTGGTTGGTTTTGAGCCATGTTTATGGCTGTAACATCAGAAGGCCAATTCTGAAATAAGCTCTGATGGCCCAACACATGGCTGTCTTGAATTCCGGGAGACTTACTGGTATCTGGGGTTTAACTGCTTAGAATTGGGAAGTTCACGAGACTGACCAAGCAGTTGGTCGAATCCATAAACTTTTGTGCTTTTTCTGGCATGTTTTCCTCTAAAAATTGCCCTAGATACTTATTTTCTTACGCTTTTTACAGCTTAATTTTTTCTGCCTGAAGACTGATGTTAGGCTTGTTAGTAAAATGCTCTGAAAATAACCAGGTTTATTTGTGGTTGAAATGGACAGTTTGATACAGAAGCTTTTGCAGAGTTGAGACAAGTTTGGGTTTGGCTCTGGTGGATGCAGAGAGAAGCCCTCATGTAACCCTGGGACCTGAACCTGTGGCTCAACGCAACTTAACATCCTGGAGATGCAAAAAAGAAATGCGATAAAAGCATTCAGGTTCAGTTTAAATACATATGTATTACTCCTGCTTCCTCAGAGGGGGATAGAGTGCCCTTGAGAGTAAACAGGGAAAGGTAAGGGGATGCTACTCATGAACAGACCGCAGTTTCCCTGCCAGTACTGCCTGCCTGCGTCAGCACACTGGGGAGTGGGCAGAGCGTCTGCCCAGAGAGGTGGTTCAGCACATCCTCCCCAAAATCAGGAGTTGGACATAACAGATCTCCAGCAGGCATGGAGCTCTCCCTGGGGATTTTGCGCTGCTTTTTCTTCCTAGGATACAGTCTGTCCCCACACTGAGTTCCCCTCCAAACTGGGAACTGCTGATGGAAGGTCTCCATGTAAATCACGGGGTAGAAGAGATGTGGTTTTCACTGGTCTCATTTTGAGCAAGTAGTTTCTTCAGAGAGCATTAAGCGGTGTCTGCCGTTGCTGACAGCACTTCCTTTGGAGCTGTTTCTCTTGCGTTATTTAAGCTGGATATGTGCACTAACGTTTGCCTGTGCAGTTACGAACTTAGCTTGCTCTGCATGTTGCCACCAGCATTTGGTACACGCACTATTATCACTGCGCTCTCTGTCTCAAAGAAAATGACTTGAAGTGTGTGTCCTACCCTGCGTTAGCAGGTTGGTACGGATTTGGAAATGGAAATATGCATGATGTGTAGCTCACATGTGACAGCTTTTCTCTTATAAAATGTAATTTATACTTGCAGGTATAAAAATTAATTGCAGCTATTAATGTCTTTTTGAATTATGAAACTTTTTCTAAGCTGTAGCAGATGATCCAGGCAAGAAAATGCCGGACATAGCTACATGCTCTGTGCTATGATGGCACCCTGTAAATTTTGCAAGGTTGTTCCAGTAAGACGCTATAATATCTAAATATTAAAAATGCCATTGAGAATTTCTCCTTTAGTGAATCCAGGTGATAAAGCTAGATAAAGATACTGCTGGAAAGCTGTATACTCTTCCCTACCACCCATTTTACATTTTGTTGTTTTCTAAAAAACTATCACAATCAGCATTTAAACTGGTGTTACTTGTTATATTAATTCAGAAAATGTTTTATTTTGTTTATAGACCAAAACAGTGAACAAAGAGAAAAATGCGAATGAACAAGAATTTAACTTCGAAAAAGTAAGTCAGCGGGACCTATTGAATCTCAATATTTTAGTGTGCAGATCTGTGTATGTATACACTGGGGAAAGCTACAGCGGTAGCGATGAGAAACGCTTCTAGAAAAGGTTCTCTCTTGTAGGTGAGGATTTCCTAATAGGTAATTTTGGCTGTGTGCCATGCCCAAGGAGGAACGCAGTGGCTGTTGTCAACTGCTCTGTGTGAAGAGAGGCGTGTTACAACTCGTGGCCTTTCTTTCTGATCTTTCAGTAAGAATTTGAGGAGGATCGCTGTGTGTTAGCTATGTAAAGCTATGTGAGTACCCGTAATGTGCAGCATAGCTCTTTCAGGCCTGTGGTGTTAATCTTGGATTTCTGATCTCATGTGGGAGGGGGGAAAAAAGGCATATTGGCATCTGTTTTTGAAACAGCAGATTACTTCTTTCCATTTGTCTTTTTGTTCTCATCTGTTCTTGTATGAGCATAAGTAGCATTGGCCTTCTTAGATACAGATTCGTTTACAAATCTGTGCAAGTTGGTTTATGTGCCTTATCTCCACTCAGAGGCATGCTGTGATCCAGTGAAATCTCTCACTGGAGATGCTGCATGGAGCTCTGTACTGCTGAGAACAGCAGTGAGGATTTACCCACTACCTTTAAAAAGACTATCAGTTCACCACTGGTTTTGCCAGGGTATGCTTGTACAGCATCAACTGTACATATGTAGGTAGTCAAACCACTTCACCATCTGCCTATCCATGTTTCCCGCTGGTTAAGTGCTCTGCAGCCAAGGAACGAGGATGCTCTGTAAGTGTTGGGTGCTGTGGGTGGCACATTTTGTTGTTGTTCTTTGTGCAGCACAACGTGATTCATTTTTGGGGAGAGGAGATGTATTCCATGTGTTGTTTTATGTGAAATGAGGAGAATCGAAAATTGTCCCTGTGACAGTCCTCACCATCCAGAGATTAGGTGGACGGTGGTTAACTGTTCTGCAGTATAGCTCCAAACTCAGTTTTATTTTATAGCGTGGTGATTTCGGGTATCTTTGGGAGTCTGGTTTCTTTGGGAATATGACTTTGTTGTGGTCTGTCAAGCGTTATTTTACAAGAAGGTTGGACAAATTATGAAATGCTTGCAATTTTTTGTAATGTTTTAGGCTCGTTTGGAAGTGCACAAGTTTGGAATCACTGGCTACAAGAAGCAGGAACAACGCATATGGGAACAGGAGCGTGCTATCATGCTGGGAGCCAAGGTAATTGTCATTTGTTTTGTGCTGGGTGGTCACCCAGCTGTTACAGTGCAGCAAAGTGGTAAAAAACATGGGGGGGGTTGGCACCACTTCCTTAAAACACAAGAACCCCTGCCCTGATCCTTCTCCTGCTTTATCCTTACTTTTACATTTTCTATTCTGTCTTGTCTATTTTCTGTAGACGTTTGGAAAATCAGTATGGTTGTGCTATCAGAGATGTTGTTTGGATGAAATATGACTGATTGGGAAACAGAAAACAACAGAAAACAAAAATTAGAAAACAACATTTACTCATTTTTAATCAGACCATTCAAAGCTAAATTGTTGGCGGGAGGGGCTTGCCTTTTAAAGCTTCACTCTCCCAGTGAGTTAAAGATGGAGAAAACTTTTCTGTTTTATTTATCATCGGCAGTGTAAAAGAAAAAAAAATTTTCTAGGTCTTTTTGAGGGATGGGGAGGGGTATGGGTTTTCTTCCTAGTTCAAAGTGTATGTGTAAACCCTGTGAGATTGACATAGAGCATAAACATCCCTCTCTACTGTCTCCACCAAGAAAGATATGGTCTCTATGTGTCTGCCTTACATCTCTCAAGTCCCTTCCTCTCATGCAAAAGGAAATAAACCATTTCTAACATTTCCCTACCACCACCTGAAAAAAATTTTCCATGCAAGTGTGTGAATATTTTTTGAACCTGTTTGAAAATTTCATCAGTGGTATCCCTCCCAATCTTTATTGCAGCCCCCCAAAAAGGAACACGTGAACTACAAGACTTACCAAGAGAAAATGAAAGAGAAAAAAACAGCAAAGGATGATGATAAGGGAAAGGTTTGTATGACATTTTCTGTTTAAAAAGGCAGCATGTGAGAGGTAGCCCAAAAGCCTGACAGATAATGCCTCAGGCGCAGGAGGAGTGCCTGAGCTTGACACCCACTGCTCTCTGTGGAGTGGGTTCCTGGCTCCAGCAGGACTAACTTCATCAGTAAAAGCTTCTGTGTGCAGTACGAAGGGCATAGAGTTAGGCTTGTCCTGTGGTGGGTTTCACTGCCTCATCCCTTGAGGCTGATGGACTGATGACACAAAATCAGCAGGTTTGTTTTTTTTTTTTACCTTGCCTCTTCTGAGGAAGAAAATGGTGTCCAATTAAAGTTTGTTGCATGTTGCCTAACCACAGAGAGCCGGATCTCCAGCTGGTTTTATATCAGCACAATTCCATCTACGATCCTGCTCATTATTTAGAGCAAGGGTGAGGTTTCTGTTGCATCCATCCTCTAGCATGGCCCATCTGGCTCCAAGCCTACTCCCTGCCTCCCAATGGAGTCTTCTCATGTAGGTGGGAGCAGTCTGTGGGGCGGGTAATTGCCCTATCAGCCTGTTCCCTGCCACCTTCTTTCCCAGGGGACCTACTTCTCCTCCTCTGCCACATGGCTCCATGTGCATGACCAGCCATGGTCGAACCCTGTCATTTGACAGGTACGCTCAGTCAGGCGACTAGGCACACCTGCCTGGTAGTGAGTCCATCTTTTGACCCAAGGATCTGTCACATGCCCAAGAAGCGAGCCTCTCTCCCCTTGTGTTGCTGGATCTGTGCCTCCTCACGTGGCAGGGGCAGCACGTTGGTCATGAGAGGGCTGTACTTTCCCTAAGGTGACAGGAAGGGCTCTGGGCACTCCTAGCAGTGCCTCCGTAACACATTGCATCACTTGGCCTGTCAGAAGGTCTCCCACCCTGCTTTAAATGCCTGCTGCTCCGTGAAGCAAAGGCTACCGTGTGTTTTGTGTGCAAGATGGTTGTTTAGCCAAGACACTCTCTTCCTTTTTCATTAAAATACGTATCTTTAAAAACAGGAACATAAAGGTGATTCTCTTAAGAAGAAGAAGAAAGAACAGAAGGAACGGTGAGCTGGTTTTTAACAGGGTTTAAATTGACTTGCTTTTATATAGCCTCCCCAGTGTATTGCCCTGACATAACTGTGCACAGCCTTATACCAAAAGTCATGCAAATCGCAATGGAAGGAACTTCTCCAACTGCAGAAGAACTGTTAGTCACAAAATGGTGACCTTGCTCTGTGTCTAGCAGTTTCAGAGGCCTTAGTTCCACAGTTTAATTGAAAACGTGTCAGTTCTGCCCTGACGTGTCTTAAGACTGCAGCTGGAGCAGAGTTGGATGGAAAATGGCTGTGGATGGATGGAAAATGGCTGTGGATGGATGGAAAATGGCTGTGGATGTTCTCTAACGGGACTTCTGCAAGGCCTTTGACACAGTTTCCCACTGCATTCTCCTAGAGAAGCTGGCGGCTCATGGCCTAGACGGGTGTACTCTTCGCTGGGTAAAAACTGGCTGGATGGCCAAGCCCAGAGAGTTGTGGTCAATGGAGTTAAATCCAGTTGGTGGCTGGTCGCAAGCGGTGTTCCCCAGGGCTCAGTTCTAGGGCCGGTCTTGTTTAATATCTTTATTAATGACCTGGACGAGGGGATTGGGTGTGCCCTCAGTAAGTTTGCAGATGACACCAAACTGGGTGGGAGTGTCCATCTGTTCAAGGGGAGGAGGGCTCTGCCTCCAAGAGGGACCTGGACAGGCTGGATCAATGGGCCGAGGCCAACTGTATGAGGTTTAACAAGGCCAAGTGCCGGGTCTTGCACTTTGGTCACAACAACCCCATGCAATACTACAGGCTTGGCGAAGAGTGGCTGGAAAGCTGCATGGTGGAAAAAGACCTAGGGGTACTGGTTGGCAGCCAGCTGAATATGAGCCAGCAGCGTGCCCAGGTGGCCAAGAAGGCCAATGGTGTCCTGGCTTGTATCAGGAATAGCATGGCCAGCAGGAGTAGGGCAGTGATCATGCCCCTGTATTCAGTGCTGGTGAGGCTGCACCTCAAGTATTGTGTTCAGTTTTGGGCCCTTCACTACAAGAAAGACCTTGCATTGCTGGAGCATGTCCAGAGGAGAGCAACCAAGCTGGTGAGGGGTCTGGAGCACAAGTCTGATGAGGAGCGGCTGGGGGAACTGGGGGTGTTCAGCCTGGAGAAGAGGAGGCTGAGGGGAGACCTTATCGCCCTCTACAACTGCCTGAAAGGAGGCTGTAGTGAGGTGGGGGTCGGCCTCTTCTCCCTGGTAACGGGCGATAGGACAAGGGGAAATGGCCTCAAGTTGTGCCAGGGCAGGTTTAGGTTGGGCATTAGGAAAAATTTCTTCACCGAAAGGGTTGTCACGCTCTGGAAGGGGCTGCCCAGGGAAGTGGTCGAGTCCCCATCCCTGGAGGTATTTAAAAGAAGGATAAATGAGGTGCTTAGGGACATGGTTTAGTGGTGTGATGGCAGGGTTAGGTTAACGGTTGGACTTGATGACCTTAAAGGTCTTTTCCAACCTAAACAATTCTATGATTCTATGAAATCCCTGTGTGCACACCCAGGGTATGCCACTCGGGGGCCCTGAGAAATAATTTTTGCGAAACACAAGCTACAGTATACAGAGGCTTGAAAGGTGAAGTGGCATTCTTAATTATAGTGTAGCAGGTTCACTGAAATGGACTCCCTATCTTCTTTCACTTTGTTTTTAAACTTCTTTTAAAATGCAGTTCATTCTGTAATGTGCTGCAAATTTTAATGGCTGTGCACATAATAAATCTTCTGGGGTCATTACCTGCTATGATTTGATACTCTAGAATGCCAAACACTGATTGCATAAGTAGGTGACATTTTTCACCATATTGAGCATTTCCATGAGTTTCTGGTGTTTTACTTAATTCCTTTTTTCCCCCCTTCCTATTTCAGGAAGGCCAAAAGGAAGAAATCGGTGCCTAGCATTTGGCCTGCAGGACAAGTTGGAAAATTCAGAGATGGGACCTTGATTCTGCAAAGCCGTGACATAAAGAAAATTAAATCATCTAAAGTTATCAAATGAACTTATGACACAGAGTGAAATGGACACTACGCGTTAAGATTCATGTTACCATCAACACGGACTTACAGAGCCTCTCGCTGTCCCACCGTGTCCTAATTTTGTTACCTTATTTTTTGTTGCAGTATTTCCTATCTTCTGCCTTGGGGAGAAGATGAGAATTTATCTTTTTATAAATAAAAATAAGACTTTTTATTAAGAAGGTTACACAGGCTATTTTTATTAGGCAATATGTGCTAAAGAAAGCATTTCACTTTCTAGGATTAATGTATTGGCTATAAGTAAAATATTCATTTAGTCCATTGATGGATTAAAATGTATAGCGCTCTGCTTTCATCTGGAAGGAATATAGAAAAAGCAATACCTTATTTGCTCTGAATCTGAAGCAAGTATTCTGAAACACTTACCAGGCATACGTCTGTTTCTGTATCGATATGATTTGTTAGTGGATAGTGGAACGGCATGACAAGCAGTTTTCCTGTCCAGCAAAACCCTAAGGTTTCAAAATTATCTGCTTTGGGAATGAAAATGAAATTTTCTGAAATTCTGTCCCATGTAAGAGTTACAGACTCAACTTGTATATCTCTGCAGAGGTCTCCAAATAAGCACTGTTTCAAACGGTGGCTTGGTTGATTTGTTTTTTAAAATAAAAACATGTTAAGTCCGAGCCAAATGAGGCACTCAATAGCTACTGGTTGTTCATGGTTAGCTTGTGTTTGTTTTGATCAGTGTTCCTCTGCGTTGTAAGGCTTTTCTATTGTCAAAACCGAAGTTTTAGTGCTATTTGGATTTCAGCAGTTTGATGTTTCTGAAAGAACAGTTTTGTTCTCTGTAGCTAAATATTTTTTTGGTTTTAAGGTTGTGTTACCATTAGAAATGGCAGTGGTTAGTAACCTTCCAAAATGTCCTCTCCGTTCTACCTCACGGTAAAGAAACTTGGGTATTTTAGGGGGAGGCAAAAATGCGGTTAACTGTTAAATGACCGTGTTGTTTATACATGAGGTTATCTGGAGCTTGTTTGAACAGTTCTGGCAGTGAAGCAGGTGTATAAGAGAAGGAAAACAGCCCTTACTGAAGAAACATCTTCTAGGTGTATTGGTGAAGTTTGGCGTACCCCTGCGGGCTGGGGAAGCAAAGGATGCTTTCTGGCTGCCACCTGGGAGCCCAAATGAGGTGATCCCTAACCCTGAGCGAGCAGGGAGCTCTGACGCATCTTGCAGCTAGCAACGAGAACAGCAGCGTAGCCCTCTCCCCAAACAGCAGCATCAGAGGCTGCCCCCTTCACGGGACAGGGAAGTATTCTGGGGTAGGGAGAGCCATGCCACAAAAAGGGATGCTTTCTGGTACGCTCCTTCTCCCACTACCTTCCACCTTGCGTTCAAGCCTTGAAGAGGTGCCCTGCCAGCACAGAGAGGACCAAGAGGATGGAGAGGGCCTGGAGGGAATGAGAGCCAGGTAAAAACTGGAAGGGAGTGTTTCTGGAGCCTTGTGGGAAGAGGAGGGGTGTGCAGAGTTGGGTTGCTAAATACCGTTACTCATTTCATAATTGCATCATTTGATTTCTTCTTATTCAGTACTGGTGGCAAATTCAAACCGGAATTAACAATCCTGTCTGGTTACAGACTTGAGAGATGTCAAATTGCGATTGCGTGTGAAGGTGTAGTTGCTAAGCAGAATTGAGTACAGAGCACCAAGACTTGTTGAGGCAACAGATGGGCTTTTGATGTTGTGGGATAACCTGTATTTTTTAATTCCTGGTTAATCCTTGAGCTCAGTTTTTCACTGCTCACTTCGAGATAAAAGTTTTGTTCAGCTGGCTCTGGGTATAATGTGTTGTGGGGGTTCATGTCCTCATTCAGCTTTGGTAATTTAAAGGGTTCGCTTTCCACCTCCACAGCTCCCGAAAGCTATTTAGGAGTGAAACTTGGTCAGAACAGGGTGTCGTAGTTTTTGCAGTCCTGATCTCAAGCTTGTAAGCTCTGTTAGAGAAGAGTTGAAAAAAATTCAGCTCTTAAAATAAAAAGTTGAAGACTGAAATGCCAAGCTGACAGTGGAACATGAAAGCTTGGGGGGAAAAAATACCCCAAATTAAAAGCTTATTATTTGCATTTTCTTACTCTTTTAGCATTGGTGTGTATGCATTATGAAAGCTTCCTGCTATATGGTGCTTTTTTATATCAAATCCCCGAGGTGGTTTGAGCTGGCCATGTTACGTCCTTGTAGGATGCTGTTCTCAGGTAAGCATGGTACCTTCAGTCCTATTTTGTTACTAGATGCATTAACAAAAAAGGTAAAAAGCGACATTTGGCAAAGAGAACTGTTGAGAACCTGTTATGCACCTGGTGTTTCTCTGGACTGGCATTTGTCATTAATTAACTGAGTCATTAACAGAGCACACGAGCGTATATTCAGGCAGCAAGCTGTGTTGCTTTTGGAGCAGGTACTGATACACAAAAGCCCGTGTTGATTGAACAAGGGAGAGCAGGGACCACCTTATTTTGCTCTCTACCTGCAGTTGAATAGAGGAATGAGGGATAAAGGAAGAATGCGAGCATTTCTCCTCATCTGCTCTCTTTCGCATGCCTTTTCCTGTGACAGGTAGCTTTACTCCCACCTCCTCATATCCTAAAACCATTGTGATTATCCTTCCTCCCATTCAAACCTTTTGCCGTGACGGAGTTGATGCCAAGTTGTTGCCTCTTGCAGGGGAAAAACAAACAAAAAAAGCCATGATGGACGGTGTCTCCACACTCCTGTCTGTACTTACTCCTGACTGTTTTGGCTGGCTTTCTATTTCTTATCCTGGTGCTGCTGTTAAGTGTGTCAGCATGCTTTATTCTGCTTTATTAACAGACACTTATGAAGGTTGCGTAGCTTCGATGGGTGCCTTTTTGCAGGGGCTGAGCGGGCTGCCTCTGTAGTGTTCTTGGTCCCTCACGAGGCACCTGCTTGATAGAGGTGTGCAGCTCCGGGATGATGATGTCATTTTAAACCATCTCACAAAGTTCTGTCTATCCTGCCCTGACGAGCTTTCTGCCCGGCCTGACTCTTGCACTCACCCAAAGGCCTTTCCAGTTGGATCCTACTGGTGTCACAGTTACTTCCAGGCTCTGCTTACTCCAGTGTCAGAAATTTCGGGAGACTGGGAAATCACCCCAAGTGTCTAAGATGGGTTGGAGCTTAAATAGGACATCCCCAGGTACTCTCAAACCAACATGAGCCGGAGAGAATGGAGTGGTGCTGAGAAGGAGAGGTGTTTCGTGCTGCTGAATCCGAAGTTGAGGCGCAGATGGTTGCTCTGAGGGAGGACTCTTGGCTTTCTCCAGCTACCAGACTATTCTTGGCCACGGTAACAGAGCAGGTATCAACAGTTAGAGTTAGGCATGCATCCTGCGCATGCCTAGTGACTCATCTACATTATGACATAATATTTTTTGGTAATAATTTGTAATAATAAAAAGGGTGCTGATGCTGAATTTGTTGGCAATGTTTTAAGAATTTATTTAGAAACTGTAAAACAGCATAAACTCATATGTCAGGTTTTCCAAAAGGGTAGTAATAATAATAATAATAGTACACAAAGTTTTAGTCAGACCAGAAGACAAAAAGCAGTTTGTTTCCAATTCAAAAAATACAAACGTTTCCTACGGATACAAAATTATAAAAAGTTTGTATTTTCCTCTTGGTCTGGTGACAGACATATACAGCAAAGTTGTATATTTCACCAGCTCCAAATTCATATAAGCTATGGGAAATGGCCATAAAGGAAAAACAATGTCATGGTTAAGAAGAAAACATAGAAACAACTTTGCGTCTTTCATTTAACCAGAAGTGAACACCGTTCTCTTACTCCTTTGCACTTTTTGGTTGCCAACATTTAAGTTAGTGTTATTCATGCTTCATATAACAATCAGAAATAACAGCAGGTTTACCTCATGCATTTATTTTTAATATTCATCACATAATGTCTTCTCACCATGCTACCTAGAAAGGTTAGTGTTTTTACTGACAACATTTAAGGGAGGTGGAGGGTGAAGGAATGCAGTCAGGATCCAGGAATATTTCTATTTACTGCTTCACAAGAAAATGTTAGAAATCCTCCAATTAGCATAAAAATAATTTTGTACTTCATTCTGCTTGGATCTGTTTGCAATAACAAATGTATCGGAAGGGGAAAATGCTGCTGAGTGCCTCTGTCAGTAAAATGCACGTCTGTCTCCCGTATTGTGCAAAGATGCAGGAGCCCCGCGCATCAAGTCTCTGTCTGTGGCTTGCATAGGGGCTTCTGCACGTAAGAAGACCAAGTGCGTCCTATTGATGATGGGTTTGTGCTTCAGGCTGCCGCTCCAGCCGGTTCTGTGTGTGCAGCATTCACTAGTGCTGGGCAGAGGAATCACCAGAAATGTTGTCAGTAAAAACTAGAAGCAGCTCACTTTATTTTTAATAATAATAATAATAAAAAAAAGACTCTCCATCTTTGTTTTGTAATTTTCAGTGACAAGTGCCCTTTACATTTGCAATGTGGTTGATTTATTACCATAACCTGTTGAAGGACTTGAAACTAATCTCCCTTCCAAACTTGATCTAGCCAAGATGCTTGGGGTTTTCATGTTATCTTGCCTGGTTCAAAGTTGAATTCTTGACTTTGCTATTTAAGCAGAATGCTGCAAAGCTGGTAAGGCCTGAGATTAGGTCTGACAACTCTTTTTTTTCCTCATCTTTCCATTTGTGAGCAAAGGATGTACTGGATGGCACCAGAAAGCCACCGTTACCAGGCTGGTACTTTGCATCCCTTCTCACAGGAACAGGTAATCTGAATTGTGGTCCAAACAGGCACCACCTCTTGTTGACAGTCGCAAACACCATGTTTTTCATAGAGTGGTAGTGGCAGCTTAGCCTTGATTGCATCTCTCTCTTACCTAGTTTAAGAAATACTATTATGTAAGAAAGAAAGAAAAAAAAAAAAAAAGCTGCATCTTGCATTTCTTCTTGGTCTAGAACAACTCGGAAAATAGAACATTAGGTGCTCTCTGCCATCTTTGCTAACTACACTTTGGGGGGGAAAAAAAAAAGCTTACACAGCACTACGACAGAATTCTATCACCAGCCAAGAACAAACTACAGCAATACACTATCGCGGC